TAGATAGATAGATAGATAGATGATAGATAGATAGATAGATAGATAGATAGATAGATAGATAGATAGATAGATAGATAGATAGATAGATAGAAACATCGATGTGAGAGATGCATGGATTGGTTGCCTCCCGCACATGTCCCGACTGGGGCTGGAGAATCCAGCCTGAACCGAGGTACGTGCCCTTGCTAGGAATCGAACCTGAGACCCTTCAGTCCATGAGGAAATGCTCTAACCACTGAGCCAAACTGGCTAGGGTGATTTATTTATTTATTTATTTAAAAAGCACTGTAAACTGTTAAAGGGCTACCCCCTTATGTGTCAGTAGTAAGTTGTCCCTTCCTGCCACCTCTCCCTTCTCCTTGGTTTCGTGTGAAACTGGAGCTTTGGGGGAGATGAGGGTGGTAACAGATGAATCAGCATAAAGCCAGCCCACCCAAAACCTCCTTGCCTAAAACCAATTGCTCTGACAACCAGCTTGCCTAAAAGTCAGAGTAGTAATTTTGAAAGAAGTGGCTTTGTACCAATTTTCTTAAGAGGCACTTCCAACATAATGCCATATTTTTAAATCGCTCTGTCACAATCTGCAGCATTATGTTGATGATGAGCTCGTTTTGTGTGCTTGTGGATGGCTTTTGCTATTTCATCTGCTATTGAGCAGTTTTATGACTTTTTAGCAAGTTTGCTGAAAACCTTCTCTTAAAATTGTATATTTCTACACTAGATACTTGTCAAATCTATTGCATTTCCCACAAGATGTATCGAATGCACCGTTTTGATCACTCCAGACTCTTTCGAGCTGGGTTTTGCTTTGCATCCTATACGCCTGTGTGCACCTAACAAGTTGATTAACAGAATTAGCAAGCACCCAATGTTCCTTTCTGTCCTGCAAGGTAGTGGCATTTTGACAACAAGCATGAAGAAGTGAGACAGACGGGGCAGCTTGCATCGAGCTCCTTGTATTTTATTTGTCAGGCTCTCTCACTCATCAAGCAGCTCTACTTTGTGAAACATAAAATGATACATACAACATCATGACCAAATATATTTATTGCAGGAAACAACATTTTTCAAGAGAGGCGAACTGGCTAAAAAGTCCCGAAAGTGTTCAAAAGTAGATAAAATTAGAAGACACCCACCAAGGATACAAAACAATTTTTAGTAGAAATCCCACCTTTAATCAGAATTAAATAAATTGCTTTCTAAAAATCCTTTAAATGACACTGCAGAAATATTAGGACACCCAAACAGATTCCCAAACATTTTGAAGTGGACTGAGTTTTACGTGAACAAGCCATTGAGCAGAGATTCCTTTTGTGACTTTGCAGCAAACTGGTGTGTGGCCGTTTGGCCTGGAACCGATTTAGGATGCAAGCATACTGCCTTTGCACGCGCAACATGTGGGCATGGGGACAATCATGGCCCTCAGGGGACAGGGACGTCTCTCCTGAATATGACCTCCAGGAGTAAGGGCAAACTGTCATCTTTAACTCTTTATTATAAAGACATATTTACACAGAACAATCTTTACAAACACAGTGAACACAACAATGGGGAGGGGACACTTTCTTAATGAAAAGGGCCTTCATAGCTTTGTATAAATTAGTATAAGAATCATACACAACCATTTTAAATAAGACAAGCCTCCAGCCCCCCACTGCTCTCTGCCATCCCCCTTGTCCCCCTTGTCCCTCCTTCCCCATGGGGCTGGGTAGCTGATGAGGCAAGAGATACAGAGAGGGGGAGGAAGAAAGCCCAACCCCTGGTGGGGGCATCAGTGGCAGAAGAGGCTTTCTGGACACTGGCCAGCCCCTACTCTGAGTCTGAGGGGTGTGGGGGAGGNNNCTGAGGGGTGTGGGGGAGGCGAGCACCCAGCCAAGCTCCCCAGGGTGGGCCTTAAAGCAGCAGCAGCAGCAGCAGCAGCAGCGTTAGCAGCAGCAGAGGTAAGGATGAGAGGCGGGTAGGCAACATCAGGGTTACTGTGGGACTCAGGGGCCCTGACTCCCCTTGCCCCCAAACACACATAGGTGGCCATCAGGCTCTTGTCTCCCCTTTTCTCCCTCTTAGGAGGCCTCTGAGAAGGAAGCCCGCTCAGACCTGCATTT